AGAGGGGTAACCCTGAGATGCAACGCCGAGCTCAGATGGTTATCGATGCATGTGTCAGTTTAGGAGATGCGAATCCCATTGTAAGTTTTCTTTCGAACCTTTAATCTGATCAGACCGCGAATTCTTATGATCAGTTTCACGTTCATAACTCGACCTTTACTGTATTATCACCTACTAATAGGCTTCCAGGCGATGATACACGACGTTGGCGCTGGAGGATTATCCAACGCTCTTCCGGAGTTAGTTAAAGATGCTGGTTTCGGGGGCAAGTTCGAACTCCGTCAAGTCGAAAGCGCAGACCGTAGCTTGAGTCCCCTTCAAATATGTAAGATTTTATGGACTTTTCCGTTTTCCCCTTCCCGCCTACCACTGTATCATATCAAACCCCACGAGGCTACCACTTGATTATTTTGGATTTAGGGTTACTGAACTGGAGGGATTGCTAACCGCTATGATTATAGGGTGCAATGAAGCCCAGGAACGTTACGTTATGTTGGTCAACAACGAAGGGATGAGTCGATTCGTGAGCATCTGCAGTAAGTCTTAGCAATTCCTGATACATACAATTGATATTAACTAGCAACCTAGGGCGTGAACGTTGCGGGTTTTCAGACGTCGGCACCGTAGTATCCGAAGATGAAGACGGCGTGCCTAAGCTTATCCTAACGGACAGAAATGCGAAAGATAACGTAGCGTCACGACCTATCAACCTTCCGATGTCAACCTTGTTCCCCCCAGGTCGCCGATTGCAGCGCATAGTCGATTCCCAGAAACCAAGTCTACCGAAATTCGAACCAATTGCTAGCTTAAAGGCTGCGCTTGGAGCCAGATCGACTGATGCTGAACTCCTTAGAAATGCTGTACAGAGAGTCTTTTGGATGCCAGCCGTGGGATCAAAGTCTTTCTTGATCACGATTGGAGACCGGACTGTTGGAGGCCTTACTGCACGAGACCAAATGGTAGGACCATGGCAAACACCTGTAGCCGACGTCGCGGTCACAGCCACGTCGTTCAACCTGGGGGCGAAGACAAGGCACGGCGAGGCAATGGCTATGGGCGAGAAGCCAACCCTTGCCTTGATATCTCCTGCCGCGTCTTCTCGTATGGCGGTGGCCGAGAGCTTGATGAACCTGGCCGCTGCCGATATTATGGGCGACCTACGACGAGTTAAGCTCTCTGCCAATTGGATGGCAGCCGTAAACCACCCGGGAGAAGGAGCAGCTCTTTATGAAGCGGTTGAAGCCATTGGGCTTGATATGTGTCCTCGGTATGTGCCGAATTACATTCTACATAATTCACCCCTTTCCCCTATAGTCTTCGCGATGTCGAAGTTCTTTCTTGATGGGAAACTTTATTAACGGTTCAATAGATTAGGAATCAGTATACCTGTAGGCAAAGATTCGACTTCCATGAAGGCTACTTGGAAGGACCGCGAATCCGAAAAGACTAAGAGCGTAACTGCTCCTGTGTCTGTTGTCATCTCGGCATTTACAATCGTCGAAGATATAAGAAGGACCTGGACCCCGCAACTTCGACGGGTTGAAGAAGTAGGAGAGACAGTCCTGATGTTCGTCGACCTCGCGAATGGAAGGAAAGCTATGGGAGGATCTGCCCTTGCTCAATCATTCGGCTACGTAGGAGATGAGGCACCAGACGTACGAGACGTGGATCTCATCACGGATTACTTTGATGCGATATCCCAATTGCATCAGAGTGGAGTTGTCCTTGCATATCACGATAGATCCGATGGCGGTTTGATCACCACGGTAGCCGAAATGATGTTTGCTGGACGATGTGGAGTTGACCTTATGATGGACGGAATTTCTAATTCTAGCTCGATCGAAGACATGGTTGACGCACTATTCAACGAAGAATTAGGCGCCGTATTCCAAGTGCGAGCATCAGATGAGACAAACTTCAAGAGATGCTTCGCAACTTGTGGACCGCCTCCGGGCTTGATCAAGAAATTTGGTAGCGTACAGCCCAAGTCAAAGCAAGCGTTGACAATTCGTTACGGAACAACACCTTTCGTTAGCCTTGATAGAAAGGAGATACAGCAGTGGTGGGCAAAAACTTCATACGAGATGCAGAAGATTCGAGACAACCCTGCATGCGCCGAGTCCGAATATTCTATTATTCAAGATCAAACCGACCCGGGCATCTCCTACAAACTCACATTTGATCCCACCGATACGATCTTACCGCTCACAGCCTCTATAACAGGGTTCTTCGGCAAGAATCCTCGAGTAGCTATTCTGAGGGAGCAAGGCGTTAACGGACATGCCGAAATGGCATTCGCATTTAAAGCAGCAGGATTTGACCCAATCGATGTCATGATGACGGACATCATTTCCGGTCGCTCGTTGGCTGATTTCGTTGGATTAGCTGCCTGCGGAGGTTTCTCCTATGGCGATGTGCTCGGCGCTGGACAAGGCTGGGCTAAATCTATACTAATGCACGATAACTCCCGAAGGGAGTTTGAAGAGTTCTTCAAAAGACCAGACACATTTGCTCTCGGAGTCTGTAACGGTTGCCAGATGCTGTCGCGAATAAAAGAGCTCATTCCCGGCACGGAACATTGGCCGACATTCGAAGAGAATGCGAGTCAACAGTTCGAAGCGCGCTTCAGTATGGTTAAAATTGAAGATAACCAGAAGAGCCCTTCAGTATTCCTCCATGGTATGAATGGCTCGGCATTGCCAATCGTCGTCTCACACGGTGAAGGAAGGGCATCCTTTTCTTCACCTAGCTCGTTACAAGCTCTTAATGAGGGAGGAATGATTCCGATTCGATACGTCGACAATCACCTAAATGCCACAGAGAAATACCCTCTCAACCCTAACGGCAGCCCTGGCGGTATTGCCGGTGTAACAAGCGAGAACGGTCGAGTCTTAGCCATGATGCCTCATCCCGAGCGGACGCTGGTAGCGGATACCGCATCGTACGCGCCACTAACCCTTCTCGAGCAGTGGGGAGAATTTGGACCATGGGTAAGGTTGTTTAGGAGCGCTCGGAGATGGGTGGGATAGGTGAGTCACAGAGAAAATGTTAGTTTACCTATCTAGCATAAATCTTGTTCGGGGCTCTCGCTGCCCGGATACATGTTAGCTCAACACGATGATTTAGCATGCATGATGGCATCAAAATGAAACTTGCGATTAAACTCGGGACGCAAAGCAATGGTATCTACTTTGCTCCTGTGAGCTTCGATATACATCCAACTTAGCGGTTATCGCATCGGAAACTTGACGCCGGCTCGCTTAGAACTGGCTATGAGGCGACGGCGTCGAACACGAGGAAATGTTGGATGCTAGGGGATCGCATATGGATCGAGGCAGCGAAACGAAACGTGTAGTTAGATAGCAAAACAATCCGGGTGGCTGACGGATCGTCGTCTATGTGGATCATAACTACGTGCCGATGCTATGCCCCCTATCCTCTACATATTGTACATACCATACTCCATCGCCGATTTATAGCAGGCAGGGGGATAATGTCGACTCTGCCAGCAGCCGCAAGTAGGTAGGCTTAGCTTAGGTAGGAAGCTGAATCGTGCGCGGGTAGAGTAAGTAAGTAAGCAGAGTACCGAAGATGACGGGACCATGGTTAGGTAGTTCGCGCCACGCACGCATGTATGTACCTAGTATGTAAGTAGGTATTTTGCTTGCATGTTTCCGGAACAATTTCAATCCTTCCATCCAGATTGCTTGTTATACTATACTATGCTATGCTATGCTATGCTAGGTATGCTAGGTATGCTTCCTCCCTGATGCGGGAAACCCGCGTGCCAGTAATAAATCCATCTACGATCCCGCTAGGTTCTTACGTACGGCGGTAGATGGTAGGTATGGTATGTGGTATTTATTATTAGAATAACTACCGTAACTATCTACCCTATGTATGCTGCGCTGGGTACTTTCGAGAATGTCTCTTTTGGGCGTGTGTTGTTGTTTTTTCTTTTCTTTCTAAGAATAGTATACTATTACCTTAGGAGCTAGTTATTACTACTACATACGGCGGCATAGCATGGCGTGTAGCACTGCGTTAGGTATAGATAGGTAGGTAGGGTAAGCGGACAGACTTATTTACTTGCTGCCGCCGTAGAGTGAAGTTAAGTTAAGCGATGGGGATACATTAAGTACTCATTGCTCACCTTGACGCCGGAGTTTTGAGATAGATAGACATACTATATATGATATATATAGCAACTAAAGTGAGGTACTAGTAGTGTATGTATTGCATCTATATATTCCATACTGGTTTCTAGAACAGCGTTATTAATGTACGTACGCATCTAGGCAAGATTCTCTCCCCTTGTGGGATGTAATTACGTATACCTATGCCTGACATACACTACGGCGTATCGCCCACGACGGCTAGGTATCACCTAGTGTGTAGCGACTGGAAAGGCACAGACGGGGACGAAGGATGCTGGTCAATTGCCGATATTCCCGGTCTCCATGCGCGCCACGAGGAGAGAGAAACGTGTCGGAAACGTACGGCGCGTAATCCTATCCGTCATCCTTCCCATCTATCTATCTAGCACGGGGCGCTCAGCTGAAAGGGGGAGCTTTTTCTCCTCCTTGGACCTAAAACCTCACCTTACCTGCGAACTCGTCGGTTTTTTTTCTTTCTTTGGGAAGGTCATCAGATAGGTTAAGTAAGTATCTAACCTTAGGTAGGTATTGTATGGCAGCTTATTATGCATAATAATCTCAATACATAAGCTGACTTACATACATACTGACTGACAGCTTCGCACGTTGTGTAAGAGGGCAAAAGAAGGCTGAGAGTAACGTACGTACATACATATAGTAACTACCTAGTGCTACATTACATACATGCGTTGTATACACACCTACACTACCTCTATGTATGTTCCACTATCTATCTACGGACTACACTATTTAGTTAATATGATATTCACTCCCTACGAGGTAATCGCGTCGTCTACACTACACTAGATAGTCAAGTTTTCTTCTTCTTCTTCTTCTTCCGCGATGGCACGGAGGTTCGTCTTCGGCAATGCTACTCTACGAATGGGACTTTTGTCACCCTGGTTTGCGGCACATAAACATGGGGCCCGAGAGCCACTCCCACTCCCACTCCCACCACCATCCATCCATCCCATCACCCAATGCTTTGACCTGCAGCCGGGTATCTCGCCTCGTTTCGCCGAATGGCACGACCAAACATACCCACGATTCGGTTCAGATTTCATTATTCTCGGCCTAGCGACGCTTTTGGCAATCTGCCATGGCGTGCTGTGGCATGGCTTTGGCTTTGGGCTTCGCGAAGCCTTCTAGGATATTTCCGCTTTGTATATCGTACATACATACACGCATATACACATACATACATACACACTTACATGGATACCATGCCGGCTACGGGATTCGTATATTATATACATGTCTACTACCGTGCCTATGTACAATACGCGTGTACATATAACCTAGGGCCCGTTGTGCATATAATAGGCGGAGCTATGTATAACGCCCAGTTAACTAGTCTAGACCGGCAAAGGCCCCTATTACCTATTATTAATTATTATTATCATTTTTGAAATTTCATTTTATCCTATCCCTTCTCTCATCATACCTACCGAACCTGGAAACGATTTCGTCCTTTCGCTCGGTCGCTAAGATCTCACTAACTAAGATCGCTTAACTGACGGGTTTCATTATGTATGTGCGGGCACGACACGTCACTTTTGGAACCTCGTCTCGATTCTGCCATATACATACATACATATATCCATACGTACGCACGTACACCTACGTATGTGGTGGTAGTATGCGGCATCAGGGGGAACGTGACAACCATCGGGAGATAAATAAGACGGATTAATAAACGTCCCACGATGGTGCCCCCAGACCGAGTGCCGGTCCGCCAGGGGCGTCAAATTTCGACCTTCCTAGCGAGTGCATTGCGAGTGTTGATCAATACTGCTCAATGACGCCACGGGTGCAGCGCCGAGGAGTGAGGCGGGCGTCGTTGGCAGGTTAGTCTCAATCATTGCAGAGAAGCTGAAAAAGACGCATACGACGACCGACGAATGGTGTCCCCGATCTATCTTCCAGACTTCCCTGTGGCTTACCTAGCTTCCCTAGCTTTACCTATGGGAGGGAGAACCGTTGAACGAGATCTTCGCACGTGCTGATCGCCCCAACCCGGGTCTTATTACCAGTTTATTATGCCGGATCCTCGTTGTCTCAAATAACAATGGTAATAATAATAGGTAATAATCTAATTAACTCTCGTGCATGGTCGAGTCCCGAAACCCGGCCGGCACTACTCCCCCTCTCCGAGAGCCACAACGGCATTGATCGCTCTTAACCGTCTGCACTGTACGAATACGATATCGACACGATATTATTTAACGAATGCCGAGCTGGTTGACTAATTAGCTGCGGGAGACATGTCCCTCTTAGATAGTCGACCCTCACCTCTGCAGGGACGTCTCTGCTCGTCATGCGGAAGTTACCTTTTAAAATCGTGGGGCGCCCCTTGAACCCCCAAGCCTCGGCCGCTTATTCTAGACTCGGCTGCAAGATGAAATTGCATCGGTATTGCTCCTGCAGCTTCCCCCCCTACTATGTACTCCGGGGGATGTCTCATGAAGCGTACCCCTTATTCAGGATGCTGGCTACCTCTTGAGAGAAACCTACTCTATCTTGTTCTTCTAACTATGTAGTTAGTGTAGAACATGAGGATGGGTATCATGCATGCTATGGGATATCATATCGAATTATAATGGGCGCACAAGTTGATACGGACGTTAATAAGAGCAATAAAAGCGTCTTCAGCCTCTGTTTTGACAGGGTTGCCTCCGCCGTGGCTTATGCCATAAGCAGGTTAGGATAACAGGCTATTTCCCGCAAGATATTACCGGCGACGAGGGGCAGCGAACCGAATGTGATAAAATGGGAGCGTAAAGTACCGATAATGTGTATGTACAATACCTATCTAGGTATGTAGGTGAGGTCTCTCTCATGCGCGGTGGAGGCGTTGGATAGTTACCTTCATATTGCATGCTTCAGGGCAGCCGGCATTCGTCTAGGTAAAGGCAACCTTGTTAAATTAAAAGCCCAGAAGTGTATCCGGTATATGGGTTTTTAGTTTTTAGCGTGGTTGAGTTCGGATATGTTATTAAAATTAAGAAGGGCCTAGACAGGTTAGGTATGCCACTCTCATAATATGACAGTCAGGACAGTATGATAACACGGAAGCATAGTGTAAACACGGAGCAGTCGTTCTTCATAAGCTGCGTACCGTACATATGCACAACATCCGAGGTTAGTCTAGCCTGTAGTCTGTAGATCAATGGGGCCGGGCCGAAGATGCAGACAATGGCTCTTGTGCCGCACAATCGCAATCGCACAATCCTCCTAAAATCCTACAGGGTAGTAGAAAACAAAAAAGGGAAAAGAAAAGCGGTGTTGGGATTTCCCACATCGCGTGTTGAACCTCTTTTCGTTGGATCAGCCCTGAATCTCAACACATGATCCTATGCGGCTGCGCGACACAACGAGATCTCGTGAGGCTTGGTCGTGTGAGTACCCAGATAGGGTATGTGTGTATGTACGTATGTAGCGTTCGGTATATGTAGTGTATGTAGGTAGGTAGGTAGGTATGTATCGCTGACCTTGCGGATCTGGATGTCGTAAGAAAATAAAGATCCGGAGCCCACCGCGAAGATTGGATTACTCTAGACTCCCTATCGGACACTTTATTTTTAAAAAACCTACCTTGTCATTCGGTAGGATTTTGCTGTATCTACCCGGTTGCGGTTGCGCTGTGGGTAGATTAGAGCCAAAAAAACCGTTACCATTCACCATAATACCCGTCTTATAATATATTATGTTCCATACTTTGCAGAAGCTAAAAATAGACACCGACGAGTCAACCCCGCGGGCGCCCGCCTTCTCGTTCTCCTGTCGCTCGCTGGTTCATGGCTGGTTGCTAAGCCTGTCTTATATGCTAGTATATGCGAAGCGGAAACAACCCCGTTCTAATATCGCAAAATCCGTCGCTACCTATTTGGATGAATGAGACAAGTCCAATACGACACGCCGTAGAGCGCCACAGAACGTGGTCGGCATGAAGGATTTCCCTCGTGCATGTATTGAGACGGCGCAGCGCAGCTAAATCGACTGTCCTGTCAACTGTACCCGCGTGTGGATGCTGGATGCGCGCTATGAATCATAAAATGGCATAACATGTCTGGGCAGACGAAGCCCAGTCTGCCCAGTCTGCCCAGTCGTTTGAGTGGCCTGTCAAGCTGTCAGCAGGAAAACTAGCAGACTGGGCAAGACTGGGCAAGCCTCTGCTCGCAGGTGACTGCCGAGGTAGATCGGGCCCGGCACAATATTGGGAATTTGGCAATGATAACATTGCCAAGATTACGTATGTGCGTACGGGATCCAGAAGCGACTCGGCTTTTAACGGGCACCGGAGTGTACCAACGACCCCCGACTGATACGTTGCAGCGGCTCCTAACATGATGATGATGTATGTAATAATATGTCAGCACGTAGCTAATAAGCAGCTAAGCAGGAGAAAAAAAAAAAAAAAAGAGAGAGAAAGTTCGGGGTCGGTAGCTGGGTATGTGGGCAAGGGTTTGGCGACGGTTGGCGTGGTTGACATGGTTCGTACATGCACTAGACTAACCTAAAGGTAAAAAAAGGTGAGGGAGGACTTTTTTTTTTGGTCTGGGGCGTTGTTGATCCGGTTTATTGGGAAGGCTATTGGTAGAGCGTCGGGATTTGGCCCTGAAGAGGAAAGTGAGAGAATTGAGACCCCTGCCTTTTTCGGGTTTGCTTCCCGGGGCTGCTCCGGTCCGTCGAACGGTTCTGACCTTCTAGAAGCCGATAAATCAAGCTTCTATTGGCCCGAGCTCTTGCTGATTTACCGATCTCACCCACCCCTTATCTGATTATACTACCTATACTACCTACGTACTACGTTGTACTCGAAAGGAAAAAAAAAGGGAAAAAAAAAAAAATCATAATTTCGGTCACCATCTGCTCACCTACCTACTCGACCCATTTGAGCTCCATAATTGACTAGATGCACGGTAAGTCCCTTACTTATTAGTCCCCATTGGCAATTACTAGCAGTATTGGCGACTACCGAGTAAAGGATCCAATTCGAATGTAAAAATCATGTCACTCCGGCATTAAGTACCTGGAACCCCATAACGAGCTAGGTACTATTAGCGTAAGTACATACAAGTTACATACGATAAGCTAGAAGGGATAATATTAGGTACTTCTTAGATACTTCACGCACGGGGCACATGGCGCCGCTCGGCAAGCATCTGCAGCCGCGAAGGAAGCTGGAGCTGAGTGCGACCCAGCCACATGGCCCTGTCTAACAGCCGATCCTCAGTTCTTAACAGGTGGGTTTTATTGCGAACGTCAAAGGGAAGATAAGTCCGGGTCCGGGCAACTTCCTTCTCCAGGCACCAACTCTTTTTTTTTTATTTTTTTTTATTATTTGGTATAACATACCTACACTACGGAATTGCACTAATTTACCTAACCTACCTAACAACATAACTAGACCAGGTTATTGTACCTAATGTATGCTGGTATGTGCTTCATCGGTTAACTAGCGTCCGTCCAAGATCCCACAGCACCGGGGCACGGATCAGAGGAGGGACAATTGTACAATTGCCGACGACAACCTTTCATTGCCCTTCAGACGATTTAGACCATTTTTCTCGCTTTTGGATTAGTGTGAAAGTCTAGTCTAGTCCACTTCTCCCTCCTTCAACTTACAGCATACAACGCCAACGCGCGCCATTTTCAGCCCAGCCGTGTTGCCTCCCATGAGACCCTGCGGAAGGATTGCCTAGGCGTCTTACCACTTCTCGCCAGGATAGTACTGCTTATTGACCCTCCTTGGATGATAATACATACATAGGATCTATTAAGAGATGAGTAAGAAGTTAGTTTTGCTCGGTAGTGTATGTACTCGACTCGTGTCCGACAAGGGATGGTGATACATACATAGTATGAGGATGGCAAAGATCCATGTTTGCTTTCTGAAAAGGGCAGGAAAAAAAACCACTTGAGCCGCAATTACTCTTGATTCTTTATGTCACGAGCGACCCAACCTCGGCTTCAGCTTTGTCCAACTGAAATATTTGATATAGGTACATCCAATGACAGATCAAAGGAGTTACTAGCTCAAGCTCGCTCAGGGGGGCAATCATCCTTGATAATTCCGCGACAGAACCTTGCTCTTGCGGGCAGGAGGCGATGGCCCTTACGTCCGGGGGGCGTCGATCATAGTATAC